ATTTCTAAGGTTTTGAATTGATTGACTAATTTCAAATATCTTCCCAAATATTTTTGCAGGTTCTGGGATCGTTTGATTACATTTGTTCGACCACATCCGTTAATAAAATTGCCAATTGATACTGATTTTAGTTTCGGTTACAAATACAAAGATGCTTGCAAGGTATCCTTTAAAATTACTTGCATTAAACTATCATGAATATGTCTCATGCAGTCGTAGACATGGGTAATATCAAAACCAGTTCCGAATCGAAATAAATGGTTTGGTTCTGATTTGAGATTTGATATAATTAATTACGAAGGATAGGTATTTTGGTGAATAAAAGTTTGTCTCTTAATTTTAGTGTTATTTTACCTCATTTCAGGAAATTCTTTTCTTGCGCGTGCGTTTTCTTATGCTGACATGTGTTTCTCTAGTTTCAAACTGACATGTACTTTTACTTCTCTAGTTTCAAATTGAATTCAATTGATTTTATATCTAAGTTTGAAGTTTTACAAAAATTATCTTTTCATTGAAAATAGTAACTGGATTAGATTTGTTGGACCCGTAACTATGAAACCGTACTGAATCATGCTGTAATGCTCCTGAATAGGATTAATAATTTTGCCTACGAAAAATTTTGCTAAGATAGACTTTCCATATTGTTAATGAATGACAAGTGATTAATTGGAAATTAATTATTAATAATGATCACTAAATTTTTTAGTATATCAACGGAACATATTTTTTTCAGTATTACAATTTATCTGAAGCAAAAATGCAGCCTTTTTATCTGGCAAGTGGCGCATTCCCAGCATCTTCTGGTGTACATATTGTTCTTCAGGGCCAAACTTTGTACAGGTATTGGAAGTTTCGATCTTAAAAATAATATATAGTCGTTGAGAAAAATAAGTGAAGAAGGAAAATGTCATTTTAACCATCAGATGTCATTTTAAGCAATCTAATTCTAACATTTCATTCATGTCCTTTAGGTTATTTGTGACCAACTTATGCTTGAATGGCGATTATATTGTGGAAGCTGATTGCGACGAAGCTCTGCAACTAATGTTATGGAAAAAAGAGAGCAACAAAGAAGAGGTTAAACATATTAAAGAGAAAATGGAAGGAGTGAGGAACGTTTGGAATTTCCATGTTGTGGACGAAATTATCGTTGGAATTGGTCTACTTTCGTCCAGTTTTGCTATTTTACGTAGTTTTATTTTCCGTAGGCAAATCAGCATGTGCATACCATCGTAGGTATGATTTATTATATCTTACATATTCTGCTCAGAAAACGCACTATCTATTCTTTCACTTACTTTCACCTTGTTTTTTCGATTACACTTCCTCAAATGATGTTCTACCTGTTGTCTTGGGTGCTTATTGAAATATGAAAATATCAGAGTCTAACTGTGGATAGATTATGTACTGAATGGCTGATGTAGTTATTTTTAAAGATTGAAGTTCAGTTATATCGAATATTTAGTTGCAGCAGCTGGATGGCCGAGCAGTCATCATGAGTAAACAATGAAGTAAAGCTGATATAACATTTTAAGTTCCACGCTGTTTTTTTTTCCATTCTCACCCAGAGCCTTTCAGGCATTTTTTCAATAAAACTTGTACTTTTTTCACAAAATAATCAGAGTCTATTTGGTTTTAGTGTAATTTTCCACTCTTTCAGTGCAAAATTTTATTTGCTTTTTCCTCACATTCTGAATTCATTAAACAAATAACAGTTCTCGGAGTATTTTATCGAAATTCAATCGCCGATGGAAAAATTAGTTTGTTCTCATCGCATAAGTTGTTTTGTTTCTTTTTGAAGAAACATTTAAGAGGTTTAAAAGGTTGGTGTAATTAATAGAAATTTGAAGGGATCCACTAACTGAATAAATGAATGGAATCGTGGAATAAGTAGTCCAACGTACTAATGCGAAATTAGTTCGTTAACTTGTTTTATAATTTATTCTGCACACTGTTTCTTCCTTTTTTTTCAAGTTTAATGATTTATTAAAGGGTACACAAATGATGATTTGTTAATGATTTGTTAAAGGATACAAAAATGCGTGACTATGTCCCAGAGAGCAAAAGCGGCAGATTCTCGAGGAATACGCCTATAGAGCATGAATTTCATTAGCTCAAGTTGTCTAGGTATTACTACCGTTAAATTCATGCCATATTATCGTGATAAAACACATCTTCTACAGTTTTTCGAATAACTGTTTCCTCTGCTCGAGCTTAAATTGCAGAATGATAGTTCTTTCACTTTATTATAAGGCGTCCCATTCAAGAATGTCAAGTATTTAAATTCTATTTAGTGCTCATTTCCTGACAAAATTTTCAATATTTTGCTGAAATCACAACTAAATTACGGCTTTTTTACAACTGAATTATAGCTTTTTTTAATCGGGATAAAGAGGCAGAATAATGGAAAATTGAAAGGATGTAAAAAAAAATTACGAATTCTATTTACTGCTCATTTCCTAACAAAGTTTTCAGTACTTTGCTCTTCCTGTTACGTTTCTACCATACTGCGAAAAGTTGATATTGTTACAAATATTTTTAACGAAGCTTAAATATTTTCATATTTTGCTTTTCTTATATGAAATGTTGATGGCAGGCAATGTTGGAATATTAGACTTAATAATCCATTCATATAAGTTTCACCGTTTATTGTTATTAGTTTTGCACATATCGAATATTTATTGTTAGTCGTATATATGAAAGCTTCTGATTACGACTTTCTGGTTACACCAAGTCAAATAATTGGCTTTCATTTGGCCTTGAAACCGCTAAATTTGGCAAGTATCACTTGCATTTATTTGCATACTTTTATTTCTTTAATTAGTTTTGCTCTGGCTAAATATCATAAGATTTTTGCATATGCATGAAATTTTATATGAAATATATTTCTGATGGTTGAAAGTCTTATGCTGGACATGTTTTCGTTTCGGTGGGAAACTTCCTTTTCAGATCAATAACACCAATGTCGTACATCTCACGCGGGTTTGAACCGGATACGGAATACTTCTCAGGAATACGTAGGACTAATCTGCGTGTACATGGCTGCAAAAATTTGAAAAATATTTGGAAAAATTGTTCAGAATTTCGGGTTTATTTTTCAGTTTGCTGTTTGAATGTTTGGGACGAAGACGTCTGTTGTAGCCAATTTGTCAAACTTATAACTGAATCAAACCTTTACACGACACTTGTGGCTGATAATGAACTGTGGATCGAACCTATCCGTTTTCGAACTTCCTTTGATTGTGAATCGTCCTTTCGTATCCGTTTTTGTCTTCGCAATTAAATTTCCGGCTAAAAAATTATGAAAACATTTCAAATCTGAATAGCTATTTAGTCAAAAAAAAATCGCCATTTTAAAAATTCATAAGATTATTCCTATCTTAAAGAAGCTTAAATTAGCTAGTCAAATAAAGCTGACCTACTTTCACTTGTAATAAGCCGGTGACACATGTTCGTGTCTTCTTGACATTATAAATCCCACATAACAAATCTTATTTCAGCACCCGAGGAAAAAAAAAAACGTTACCTAGCTCTAGTCTTGTACTAATTTAAATTAGAGATATGAAACAATGGACTAAATAATAACAAAGAATTACATTCATTATATTATACCATTCATACAGCAGATATTTTTAAACTAAATTCAAACCAATGTTTAAGTGCTCCTATACACTATCAAATAATTAAGTTCTAATTAAATAATAATGAAATGAAAAAAAAAGAACCATATCTTTCGCTATGAAGCTCAACTTCGCCATCATTTACTGGTTCTCCATCACAGATAACAGTTCCTGTTACTCCAACGCTTTTCGTTTTTGCCATAATACTACTTATAGATATTGATATACCAATGATAATTGCAAATGTTAGAGCATATGTCATTCCTGCAAAATTTCTTACATGAAACATATGTAATAAAAAACAATCATTTTTGAAATCATATTAAAACGACAATTTCTTTGAAAATGATGAACGAAAATTTTTGATGATCAAAATTTAAACAGAAAGTAAAGATCATTCATTCTTCGTGTTTAATTAGATATAATTTAATTAAGATGTTATTGCAAATTACATTCAATCATTCTATTCGTACAAATTATCTTCAACAAAACAGAACAAAAAGAAGGAAAGAATAATGATTGAGAAAAAAAAATTTAAATTTTGGAAATTACTAATCAATTTCCTTCTTCTTTTTTAGGTAACATAACTATCGCTAAGTGAAACCAAAAAACAAACATTCTTTGTAATTTCATTTAACAATCATTAAACGTTAACACTAATTCTATTTGATCAATGATTTCAATTGTAAATGATGAAAGAAAGTGAAAAATACAGCAATAGCTGATTTAACAAGAAATAGAAAGCAATATGAAAGAAAAGTCTTCTGAAACAGATGGTTGAAAGTGAATGATTAATTAGCCTCAAACTGCTAATTCTATAATTTCGTGAAATAAAAGATATCTCGATGCACAAACATTTTTCCTATACATATGCAATTCATATTTTACATAATTAATTCGAAAAAAAAAGTATAATTAGGGATGAAATGAAAATAGCAAATGGATATTGATAAATGATAACATTGAAAGAGGAAAATGTGAAATTCAAATGAGATGAAAATAAAAAAAAAAAAAGGAAAAACGTGGAAATGATTCACAATTTAGGAGATTTCATCTTTATAAAATTGTTGATAGTGTCGAAAATTTCCCATATATTTAATTTCTTGCATTATATTAAAATTGAATTGAAGGCATTTAACAATAAAATTAGGCGGAAGAAATGAAAGAGAGGAAAAGGTGGAAGAGAGAGCCCGTAGAAGCCTATTATTTGGATATTAGTTTGCATATTAAAATAGCTGAATGCAATTTTAACTATTTTTTGCTTATAAATTTAACAGGATACGAATGATTTATTCATGCATTTATGTGAAAACTATTATAGATTCATTTCTTGGTTTTTCCTTTTCATATAAATCAATATTGATATACTTCACAGTTAACCAACTGAGTGAGGCTTGATAAAAAACCAATTTCACTATATAAAAAGTTTCGTAATTCATAAAGCAATTATATCGTAACAAATCATTTTTTACAATCCTAATTCAACGAACTTATGGGAAGTAATATTTCTATTTGACTGAAATTCTACTGCATATTGTATTGGCATATTTTTTGAAAGCGTTATTCATACACTAAAAATTATCAATTACAACATTTTAAAATGTAAACAATCTCAGTAATATTAATCCTTTTCATTTTCATTTACATATTTCTATATGAACACCTTTAATTATGAACATGTACAATTAATTGGAGCTGTATAGGACACCATCAGAAACCGTCAATCTCTGAACACTGTGCTCAGAGAGAACATAAGACTCTTCGTTAGGATTGTGTCTTGTTCGACCCTCAAAGTTATCATGATATAACTCAGTTGTAAAATGCAGGGAAAAGAATAAAGAATATTCTTTAATAAGCATAGAATATGATAGAAACCACATGCTTTCCTTTTCGGACCTACATTGGAAATATGAAGTTCCTCTCTTTGATCATTACGGATATTTATGAAGTTTTGCACTAAACGTAAATGGTAGAATGACCTATAAAGCTCTTGAAACATAGAAATTTCCATATTTTATCGATCTAACTGTACATCATATAAAAAGAAAAAGAAAAATAGATGATTAAATCTGGTGATATAAAAAAACAGGACACATCTGAAAAAAAAAGAAATGAGAACAATTAGCAATAGCTGGAGCATATTAAAATCCACAGCATCCCTACTTACAAAATATTACAGTAACATCTCTGAATGTTTTAAGCGAGTGCATAATACCATAAATTTTCAGTGATAACCGGACTGACTCAAAAAACACAATAATTGACCAAAGTCGACTTTAAATTGAAAAAAAAACCACATTCAGATTTACTCGCCGAAACATTCAAAATCAATTATTCACTGAACATAACCGTTAAATAACCAATCGACTCAGTACTTGGATAAAATAAAACTGCAAAACTGAAGTCCGGTAGGTAATTCAGGAGATAATACGACAACTCGATGAAGTAACGAACGATGAAGTAATGAGCAACTATAGTTATTCAAAAAGTAATAGAATTGGTAGTCTGATATTTGAATGAAACTTGAATACGGAAGAGACTAGATCTATCATCAAGAAATGTCATTAGACCACAGTGAATTGAATATATCAAAATAACTTTAATCAGTCACCGGGAAAAAAAAACAATCAGCAGAAGTATTAAAATTTAGAAAGAAAATATGCTAATAAGAGAGAAGAAAACATTATTCACATATTGCATGTATCTACCGGGATTCTTGCCTAAACTTACCCTAAAGTTATAGAAACCGAAACTCTGCAAATTACCCCTACCTTGTATGCGAAAGTCAATATATATTACAAGTTATAAAGAAATAAAGCAAATATTATCACACCTTTTTACCTCGTCAAAACGATCGCATAATACGGCTTTTTTGAGATACAGGGATATCTGGAATGATCTGATAATCATGACTAGGTAGCTGCCAAATTATGTGAGAAAAATGGTGCGGAGTCCCTGAAAATACCATAAGTTTTTTTTTTGAATTTTATTCACTAAACCATCGAGAAATGAATGGACTTAAATGTAGCTTTAAACATGACTAGCAAAGACAAAGCTGAATAAACACTTTCATAACGGTCATGCTTACACAACAACAGACAGATATTGGTCCACTGGTTCGAAAACTGGATTTTCATCCACCTTCAAAAAACTAACATTAATCCATTTGCAACGTGAATTTTGAAGTGAAAAACGCAATTACCTGCTTAAAAGGGTATGGCATACTTGGCAAACTTTTGCTGGCCTTCGATGTGGTCCACTAGGTATTGTTGCTGACAAGCACACTGAGCAGAAAATCTTGCCGCAGTGGTAACAGTGGAGCTTAATACGGTTTTTGGAAAAATTTGACTGACATTGATTGCATGCATGCACATCTTCATCGAACTGCCACCGTACTTCCTTTAATACTACTAATTTTCTCACATGAATGCCTTAGTGATGAAAATTAACTGATTTGTAATTACTACATTATGTAGTTGGCTATCTATTCTTACAGTACCAGACTCATTTTTATATTATCATAGTACACTTTTAATTCGTGCAAATTTCCAAAGGAAGGGGAAAAGCAAAGATCAACAAACAAAATACCTGTTCAGCTTGTCGAATTTTTTCAAGTTCAATTTGCAGATTTTGTGAAAGTTTGACGAAATCCTTTTGCACGGTCTCCGATGTATTCAACTCCTGTTGTAAAGCAGCGCATCTAAAGTAGATTGCCAACGATAGAAGCAGCAATTAAAAAATTGAGTGAAAGTAATAAAAATTATTAGGAAGTTCAAAATATACTTCTGCTTATATAAAGCGACAGTCATTTCCAGGTCAGTACGCTCCTTTTGTACTGATTGCAACTGCTTTTCCAAATCCTCGATTATTTTCCTGTATTCAGTCATTCTTTTGTTCATTTCTTCAACTTTCGAAGATGCATCTTTCATCGAATCTAACTACAATATAAGATAATACAACATGAAATGTAAACAAAAAGTGACCATGAATACAACCGAACAAATATAGTGAAACCAAAAATGAATAAATGCTTCGGAAACATCATAACCAATACCCTTAAAGCAAATGAAAATACCTGACTACGCGCAAATCCAAGTTCTTCACTAACTCCATTTACACGTTCAGTGTAAGCATCCTCAATTCTTCTCTTTTCCATTTCATCTTCTTTTCTTTGCGTTTCCAGTGTCGTTATTTCATCTTTCAACACTACTTCCTAAAATATATCAGCAAATATATTTTTTACGTTAAAGAGTAGCTAAATCATTAACATTATAAGAAATATAAGCAAACATGCAAATAGGAAATTATCGCCTAGGTTATTTTCGACGAAAGACAAACTTTTCATTTCAGATAACGCTGCATATCCCAATCAAAATTCTGTCACAGTGCAAGAAAAAGATTGGTGGAAGCATTACAGAAAATCTTATACTGGATAAAGTGTGCACATTTTTAACTTACATCCACTCAACTGAACGACATTCATGTTCTTTTCATGAATATCGTTTAGTTATCAGGTTAATATAAGACTCAATATGACTAATTCTCCGAATGGGGTTAAAAGACCTCAAATGTAAAATCTCTCGAATAATCTATAAGTAAACAAGTATGTCGGTAACTATACCCTTCCCAGTTTTCTTTCTTTTTTTTTTCTAAGAGAAATATCAGAAACATACAGCATGTTCTCTGGCTGCACGGGTCTCAATTAATTCTTCCCTTAGTTGGAGGCATAAAAATTGCAACTGATCGACATCCTGAGGCAGTTCTATCGTTTGATCTCGCATTTCCGCGGAGCATTTACGATTGGCACCAAGCAACTTCTGAAAAGATATCTAGAAAAATAGTAGACTTTGGTAACAATATTCAACGAATGTAATGTAAATTTAAATTAATTAATATAGGCACAACGCACGACGACGTAATATGAAACAACCATAAAACAAAACATGTAGAGCAAAAAACATACTAAATATCGATTGCTCAAATTGTGCATATCTTTATTCATCATGTTTAAACGTTCCTTCAAACGATCAATACTCTTTCGTTGTTCTTGTATCAATTTTACACATCTAGAAGTAATCTAGTCATAATCATGAATTTTAAAAATAAAATGGAATTTTTCTTGAGACATCATAACGTTTTACAAATTCATAAACTACAAAAAAAATTAAACCTTTCATCAACGATAGCCAACTGATCAGCACACTTTTCGTTCTCGTTTTTTGCTATATTCACTTCTTTTTCATTATCTGCACATAACGTGGTTGTTTTTGTTTCCATTTCCCTCCTGAAATCATTTATTGTGATCTATAAAATTATTTGAACAAACTGGAAAGAAGCATTTCACAACGAACCTGTACAAGCGCTCTCCAGACAGTTCATTCTGGTAACGATTAACCAAATGTTGTGCAGCAGATAACTGTTCCTTCAAATTTCGCTCTGCGTCCTGAATATTTACAAAAACATTCAAGTTAGCCTAATTAATAAAAACGAACACGGAAAAGTGGGAGACAAAGAAAGAAAACTCGTGAAAAAAGACTCGGTTTTATTCTTTCCATAACTTCAACTCCATTTCGAGAAATGAGATGGAATGGCTGCGACAAGCAATCAATTTTTCACAAGAAAAATTAATAAAAAAGTCAGCCCACCTGCATTTTCGTCAAACTCAATTCATAATTATGACACATTTCGCATGATGTCGCTGTAAGCTCCGCCTCGCACACTGTGTCTGATATTTTATTTTCTTCATTCATTGCGACAGAACGGTCATTTTCTTTTTGGACAGTCTAAAATGACACAATCTACTTACTCCAAAATTTAATACAGCTTTAATTTATTTAAGAGGAGGCAAGAAAGATTAACCCTATCACTTCACATAGCCATAGCAATCATACTAATAATGCTGGTATCAAATGCTGATTTGAAGAAAATTCTACTAAAGTATAACACAAATAAGTAAATTTAATCAAAAAAAGAAACTTATAAGTTATAAAAAGTTATAAATCTGAAGAACAAATTGATAACTGCATGTAAAAGAAATAAAAAACAAAAAAAAACAGAAAAGATTATAGAACATCTCTGCAAAGTTCAAGCTGGAGCTATTTTCCCTCCTTATCTCGAATATTCATCCCAATGATTGATATGGATGGCTGAAATTCTGTAATGAAAAGAAATCTCATTTACTTCCTGTACCACTGAATCTTGATGTTCAATCTCAGCGGCGGCAGTTTCATTACTTGCTGGACCGTTTGTTTGGTTTCGAATAAAATCAGAGGCATCATTTGCATTCATTTCCGATACCAAATCCTCATGCATAATGCTTGCCCATTTTCTGGGATTTTCAATGGTAGATTCTAGAATAGATGTAGATGTAACATCTTCTTTGCCACCGTTCGACAACTGATTTGTTAGTACCTCACCACCAGTTATAACATCCACATTCTCCATGCTCATTTCTCCTTCTTTTTTTCTGTTATCGATAAGTTTTGATTTTGTTCACATTCAGTTAATTTATGGAGTGATCATTGGACAATACATCGACTATACATCCATATATGTATAACTGCAATAGAAAATAACTAAGTGAAATTGTAGTACTCCAAATGGCAAGTCTTGGAATCAACATTCTTCACCATTCACGTTTCACTCTTTTCAAGTCAAGAACTGTATGATGTTTCAAATTTTTCAAAATTAAATCCGAAGTATTTAAAAGTGAATGGCAAAGAATAGAAAATTCAGAAAAAAAAAGAAAACCAGGAAAGCTAAATCAGCGTTGAAACAGATTAAAAAGCTTATAGCTCTTCTGATAAACGGCAAAATAATATCAACAGGTGTGAGTAAAATTATTACGTGATCGAAACAATATCTTGGAAAAATTTCGCCAATAGTTTCTCTAGGAAAAAAAAAGCTTCAAAAAGCTTCACTCTATTATTGGTTCTTTAAAAATTGAACAAAAACATAGGAAATTTCGAAAGTTATACGACCCTAAAAAAGTTTGAACAAAAAGAAATGAAACAAACAAAACTCCCAAAGACAATGAGAACGAAACCATAGTTGAAGCATTCATGAACAAAGTACAACCAATCATTGAAAGCAAACATATAAAGCACCCAACTTAATTGCATCACGCTGATTCACAATTATATTTATTATATCGCTCTGATCGGGTAACGATGAAAACGCTTATCCCAACCAGTTTCACAGCGTATTGTCTCTCGCAACGACTAATTTTACAGTAACCTTATCGTTTCTTGTTTTCTTTTCTTCTTTTTCTTACTGTCATTAAATCATTTCGTGTTAATTTACTTTAAATTGCGGCATTTTTCGTTCATAATTGTATTTTCGTTCATAACTGTATTCATTATTCATTCATTAACTTTAGTTTGGAAAATGATTTTTCCTTCTTTCACTATTGTAAATTTTAAAGACTAATCCCAAAGATTTAAAATTTTCTTCCAACTGTCAATTGATAAAGCTATTCACAATGTTCAAATAATTGAAAATTCTTTAACAGATATGGAAATTTAAAATTTTAATGAAATTCAGCATTTACAAAAGGTAGTAATCAACAAATAATTAGTAGTAATTAACAAATTAGTAATCAACAAATAATTTAATAGTAATTATATGAAATGAAGTAAATTGTGATAGTTGTTTTTCATCGCATAACATTATAAATCGTATTTATTATTCCGTTTTTTTCCAAAATTTTCAATGAATTCATCAATTGGATATTATAATCTGAATTAAATTCAAGTTAAATTAAATTTAAATCAAAATGGATGAATTGAAATAAAGACTAATCAGTGGATAAGTTGAAGTAAAGACTAATCAATGGATAAATTGAAGTAAAGACTAATCAATGGATAAATTGAAGTAGTGGTTAATCAAATTAATTTTAGCTAAATATAAATGTTGAAAATACTACTTAGTTACTCAATGCAATGAAAAAACACTAATATGACAGTCGTGTCCAACTTATAAATGAAATATTATTGCCGGAAAATATTAAATAATCAATAAACAGGATATTATTTAACAGTCATTATAGTTAGAAAATCTGGTGAATTATTGAAATTAACGAAATGATTAGCAATCATTTAAATATTTTTCGAAAATCAATGGTTTATTATTTTGAATCAAATATAAGCATAATATTATCAAATTTTTCCTTTACTTAACTTATTAATGAAATGATTGACAAATAAAATGATTGGTAATATACAGGTAGATTTATATTTTTATCAATATTCTATTTTGTTGATAAACATGAATGAAACAATAGTTTCATTAGAAGATTATATTAAGTATTAACAGTTGTGGCAGAAGTTTTTTTTTTTTCCCTTGCTTTCACCGGATACCAATACTTGCTAAGATTAAATGACCGATAAGAAGATCATGTCAGTGATATAAATAAAGTAAAAATTATCACAATGCTTGTGCATATCACTGCAGAATATAATTTTTATGAATGTATTATTATTTATTACTTACAACTAAAAATTACTTCCTCTTTTTTGCTTGTTTATCTTATGGATATTTTGCGTAAATTTTACGGATGTTTTCACGTCTCAAATGCATAAACTTATAAATGCAGTTTTGTTTATTAAAATTAAAAAATGTATTTTTAGTGGATGAAAAATTTGTTAAAATTAATTCAAAGTAACTAATTTAAATAATCGGATGTATCTTTTTTTTAAATTATCATATCTATTGTTAGATGAATTCAATAATCATTTTATCATTACTATTAATAAAAAGCAAAGGTTATAATAATCCTCCTCTTGAAATTGAGCAAAATAATATCCCAATCATTCCGTATGAATCATTTAAAATTATAATTTTATAGGGAATAAGAGAAAATCTACCAGGAAAATATTTACCTTTCATATGTATTTATTTTGAATTGCATTTCATTTTTTAAAATTTTCACGCCATTTTTTTAAATCTTTCATTTCAAATTATAATTACTGATTGGTATGGTGGATAAGATATATGCGCATCAAATTGTACGATAGTTTACGATAGTAAACGGTTATGTCATCAATTTGGAAGGCAATATACCATAATTTTCCGCTTTTTTCATTAGAAATGATAGCTAAATATTACAAAAAAAAAAAAGAATTGATTTGATTAAAAAGTTAACTGAAAATTTTCAATTTTAAAAAAATTTTGAATTTTTTTCGAAAATTTCGAAAATTTTGAAAAACTTTGAATTTTTTATAACCAGAATTTTCGTTGCATTATCTATCATTTACATATCTAAAATTAATTTATCCCAAATATATCAATCTATTCAAGATATATTGATCCCAAATATATTGATCTGTAAAAATCGCATTGTTGTAATCAGTGATTTCATTACAACTATACCTGAAGTAAGAGATTAATTCATTTACAATTTTATTAAAACTATGACATTTCAATCATGATTTTACGTTCAAAAATTATATAAATAATTTGTAAACTATGTAAAAAAAATGTAAAATTTAATGGAAAAAAAGATTTTTTTTCCCAAAATTTAAATATTAAGACCTTTTATTGATTGAAAATTATTTGTTTATTTATCAGAAAATTGACATACACACAAATTTTTTTAGATATGACACTCCTCATGACAACTGTACTTTTAGTTTTACCTTTAACTTTTTTTTTCCTCTACTTTATTGCTTTATTTGAGAACAAACATGATAAGAAGTTTATATGGAAACATATCAGACTACAATTAAAATGATATCACTTTGGTGTCACCTGATGTATTTCCTGAGGTAGAATGAGAACGGAAAGAAAGATCCATAATAGCTAAAACAATAATATCTGATGTATTAGAATCTATAATAATATCGAATATGATACCAGAGGTAAAATTGATAATATGATATGATATAGTAATTGAGGCAGAGCTAATAATAGGATCTAACATAATACCTGAGGGTGAGCTAATAATAGGATCTTACATATTACCTGAGGTTAATATTTGAGATAAAGCTAATAATATGTTCTGATATTGTACCTGAAAAAGAGCTAATAATAAGATTTAACAAAATACCTGAAGTAGAGCTGATAATAAAATCTAACATGATATCTGAGGTACTATCCAAAAATGAGAAAAGTTATTAGTAGCTACCGTAATAATATATTTAAAGCATTGTAACATTATCAAAAAGATTAATTTTTAATTTAACTGCTACTAAAAAGGAAACAATGCAATTCATATATTATTAGCGATGCTAATAATTAACTTGACTAGAAATTAAGCAAAGAGAAAAGGAAGAAAAAGGAGCTAATAAAAATAACATTCAAAAAAGGAAAAAGATTTAATCCGAATTGATTAACTAATAATCATTTAATCAATTCAAATTAGTACAATATAAAGGAATATTTTTATATGCGAATATAAACTAAACGAAATCTATGCGAATAATTCTTAAATAAAATATAAATCATAAAGATGTTAAAACAAATAAATAATTAGAGAATAAGTAAATTGAGATATTTTATAAAATAAATAAGAAAACTGGAATAATAACAAATAATGGGAACAAATTTAATTTGCATATTTTAATTTAAACTTATAAGTTCTTTTTAAAGGCAGTTTAAAGAAAGTTTCAAATTTAAAGAAATCTGAAAAAAAACTTTTTTTCCTTCCTTAAATAATTTTGTCTATTTCAAATACATAAATATTTTAGGAATATTATTTATGTTTTTGAAATTTTTTGAAAACATTCCATTATTTGCTATTATTTGTTTATTGTTATTGTTGTTGTTATTATTATTGTTATTATTATTGTTATTGTTATTGTTATCGTTAGTAGATGTGAATGGGAAAACAAAAAAAAAAAAGTGCCTTTCATAATTGTTGTCCATTTTCTGAAATATTCGATGCTAATTCATTTCGTCCTTCATGTTGTTCCAATTGATGTTGCTGTTGTGTTTGAAATCGACGTCTTGCTTCATCACCAGCAAATGTAAAAATTAAGCATACATAAGCATCAAATGTTCGAGCATGATCATATGCTTTTCGTTCAGCAGCCACAAGTGAAGCATGAAGATCAATAGTTGGAATAGCCTGGGCCCATGAACAGCGGCCAGAAATTAAAATTAATCGAATCCGTTGAAGGATAAATAGACGTCGTTCTCGATTTAATTCTTGTCGCCACGGGAACATTTAAAAATCAAATTTGCAAATTTTTCTAAAATTATTACACAATAAATGATAATAATTAATAAATAATCAGGATGATAACAACGAAAAAGATAATTTCACAAAAAAATTATACATTTATTATGAATATTATTTATTTTGCTTGAAATAAAATCGAAATACCATTGTAAAAATTGTTAATTTAAATAAAATGTTTTAAAGAAAAAAATTTTTTCACACATCATTATCATATGAATATGATAATGTTAATGATTTCTGACAATAAAAATGATGATGATAGTTGTGATAAAAGTGATGAATGATAAAAATGGTGATAATAATATTTTTTTTTTTGCAAGAAAAAGATTTACTGTACATCTTTAACGTTCGTTTTATAACCATTCTTTTGATCGATTACTTGTTAATTGATTTTTTTCTACATTTATTTTAAAAACATACTGTATTCATTCAAATTACATGAATCATGAAAAAAAATACTGTATTTTTTTCAATTAGCACAAATTAACGAATTACGATCTGAATTTATACTTGCTATTAACATAAGTAAAATTCTGAAAAATTTATTTCATACTTATAATATAAAGATATCATTACCAGTCTTTGAGAAGAAATTAACAATAGCTAATTGAAACAAATAATGCTAACAACGTTATCAGATCCAGATAGTGTCCAGTACCTATCAATAACATCATTGATAGCATCTCTTAGCTACTGATAGCAATATCGATTTGTACCTATTTCTTTTACATTCCATAATGAGTAATTGAGTTAAAAATTAAAATTTAGGATTGGAAAAAAAAGAAAAGCAAAGCAAGAGAGGAAAAAACCCTTCAAACGATTTGTGTATAGACAAAAAAACTTAGAATAATGTTTTATATATATATATATATATGGTCAGTATGTGGAAGGTCATTGTTACTGAAAGTGACCATTTCTTTATTTCTCTAATATGATGATGTTTTGTTTTGTTTTTTCTCTGTCTCTTTCTCAGTAAGCTTGACCTTTTCTTCTATCTGTTCTTGTCGTACTACTCGACCTCTGTCTGTAATATTCTGCTTTCTTTGATACGACTACTACTACTACTACTACTATTATTACTACCATCACCCCTTAGGACGGATAAGGGAGAAAATATAAATCAATGATTGTTATTCAGGTTGATGATAGTAGCCTATAGGCTTTCGCTCAACCATCATCTTTTCCTCCCATTTCTTCTTACAATTTGTTGACCAAATGACCATAAAACTCTACCAACTGGAGACCTTAGGTTCTAAAATACATCTTTAGACATAACTACATCTTACCCTCCGTATCCTATCGTTTTCATTAATCGCCTACCACTTCCAATTTCATCATTTATATCAATCAGCATCCTGTATTAATTAGCATAAACAGTAGGAATATTTCATCAAAAGTAACAACTGAAAAGAAATCGAAATTTTTATTTGGGAATTTTAATTTTATTAGAATAAAGGAAAATTTAATTAAACAAAAAAATTTTTTTGTCACAAAACAAAAACAAAAATTCTTTTACTGTAAAAATATTCAATTGGATCGATAATTAGCATCTTTTAGGGTGACTTTCCTAAATTGATTTTTTCAAAATGAATAAATTAATGAAAAAGAAATTATTAGTTAAAGAAAAAACGATGAAATATCAATTAAAAATTACTACAAGCTTTAATTTTTGGATAGAAAGATGAAGGCAAAAATTTTGAATGATAAAATTTTGATTACCAAAATTTTTTTAAATTAAATATTTTAATTTTTTAATTTTTTGCTTTACAGGTAAAATAATCAGGTAAAATGTAAACGTAAAACGTATGAAAGTTTCACGTATATGAATAAATCAAAATATACGGGAAAAGTAAATAAAAAAGAAAATATTTCAAAAATATCGTTTAAAGAAAAATAATGAATAATTTTTTCTTTTTTTAAAGGAAAAAATTTATGCTATGATAAAAAAAAAAATTATCGTATCAGAAGATAACAATATATGTAAAGATATGTGATAACGTAACGGTACTGAAGATAATACAGTAAGATTATATACAAAAAAAAAAAGAAAAAAATAATTAATTTTACATCAAAATACATTATATACCCTAAACTTATAGAAATGTACCAAAGAAATGTTGTAACGATTTCAATCAATTTTAACAGGTGTTATTGACTTAATATGAATATTTGCAATACTGATAATGAAATTTTGAAATCGTTTAAACTATCAGAAATTTATTAAAATCTTTGACAATTTATAGTAATAAATTTCAGATTTTTAAAAAATAAATTGCTTAAAGAAATGATTGAAATAATTGTAAAAAAAAGAAAAAAATCCAAATAAATAAAAATTTGAAATTTTTTGAACCAATAAGCATTTATCAGTTTCATTGTTAATTTACAGTAATCAATTGTAAATTTTATTGGAAAAAAATTACATGAATAATGATGAAAATAAGTGCTAGAAAAAAAATCCTAACAAAAAAAATGAAAAAAAAAAAATTTCAGAATTATCAAATTTCCAGTGATTTGGAAATTTTTTAGATTGGGATTGTATTGAACAAAAAAAAAGATTAATTAATAAGAATTGAAATGCCAATAAAATACAAGTTTGTCCTTTGAAAAAACGGATGAAAAAAAGAATATAAATGAAAACATTATAAATACCCATAAATTATATTTGAAATCTAATCCATCAAAACTCATTAACTTTCAAATGACCTGTTATTTGCTGACCCATAGATAGTGATACATTTAAAATAAAACAATTTAACAAAATATTTTATATTTATTAAATTGACAAACTTTTAAATTAGTATTTTGCACGATATGACAGTTCATTTTTGTATAGCTACAAATAAATTATAAATTTATTACTTTTGAGTATGGTTTTAGTGATTTTTCCTTAGTATTATTATTCGTTGTAATTTTTAAGCTTATTTTTTCGTTTGCTTATTCTTCTGTTAATGTCTTTTATAGGTTTTTTTTTGATATAATTAATGTTTTTAATATTTAATTTTTAATTAAAAGATTTTAAAATACTGATAAATTTTTTCCTATGATTGAATTTTCTCATCTATTTTGTTATTTTCTGTATTTTCTCACTACTGTTTTTGAGTTTTAGTAACTTGTTTGTACTAAATTGTATTACTTAGTGGATTCCTTTTGTTATTTGTACTTTTGTTTTTGTTATTTTTATTTGATTTTTTAAACTAAACTTGTACTTAGTTAATTATTATGTAGTTGAAGAATTTTCTTATTTTCATTCTTTGATATGATTTTTGGTTATTTTAAGTCTTCCTTTCTTTTTTTTTGCATTAGTATGCTGCTGGTATGCTAATTGTTGATTCTACCAAATCTCTTAATTAATTAGCTGTTGTTGTTGGGGAATGTTTCCTTTTAACGAAATTTATTTTGTTTTGTCTATGAACGGAAATTCATTTCGTCTTGAGTTGTCAATTTATCCTGATGGTTATTTATTTTTTAGCACAGATTGGATTTTTTGATTTGGGGAAAAAAACAATCAATGATTAAGAATACATTATCATTTCTCTTTTGTTTTACTTAGTTTGCATACTTCTGTCTGAAGGAACATTCGAGAATTCCACGAATCACCGTCCTGAATTCTGGGGTATCATTGATCGCACAATGAGCGGTGCTCATATGTAGTTAACACTATAGTAACTGGACATATATCTATGACAACTACTGTAGTAACTGAATATTGCCTGTGATATTAGCTTCTCATGAGATAGCTTTTCCTTGTTTGAATGTTTTATCTTATTGATCGTTTCTCAGTCCTCGTTTTATTGCAAGTGGCCCAGGTAATAGTTGGACATTTTATCCACCTTTAGCAATGGAGATCAACCAATATGTGGATTTAATAATTTTAGGTTTGCATATTACTGGTATTGGTTCATTGTAAGGCTCGATTAGTATTACAGTAATTAGTTAAAATATACGATTTAATTGCTGTAACGTTTAGATTAGGTTAGCATGTCTCAATGAACTTCTGATAACTTCATTTTTATCATTGTTATCTGTACCCGTTTTAGCTACTGGATCTTTTTTCTTTTAATAGGACTAAGAAAGGATAATCTTTTCTTACTTTACCATGATTTTTTTTGACGATCTGGAAGCTTGTGTGATTATTTTGTTTGTTTTTGGTTTTACTAGTGAGGTTGTTTTGTTTTGAACTGATAAGGATCCTTTTTATTTGGCCAAACTAGTGTGACATTTGCTTTTATTTGAATTAGACATTTCTATTTCATGTTATCATATCTGTGTTGTTGAATTGGGTGTTGATACTCGTACTTATTTTTAGTGATTATTGCTCTTCCTAGAGCTGTTAAGGTTTTTAATTGATTGAATATCTCTTTTTGGTTCTGATTAACTTTTATGATGCAGAATTTATAATTTTGTTTTTCTTTTTTACTGTTGGATTATTCTGGGTGTTGCTAGCTTGGATATAATTTTGCATGATACTTAATATTATAACTCATTTTCATATTACTTCAAGTTTTGATGCTGTTTACGGTATTTTTGTGAATCAATTTGTGATTAATTAAATATTTAGTTTACGGTATAATACTAGTTGCTACTTTTATTGATACTAAAATGAATTCTTTCCCTATACATTTTATTGGTACAAGGTATACCTTTTAAAGCTCTAGATTATCTTGATTATTATTCATTGTCTCAAATTGTTTCTTCATTGGGTTCTGTCATTACTTTTATTGGTTTTATGTTACTTAAATATTTGTGTTTAATTCTTTTTTTTTCTCGTTTTTTGGGTATTTGCCTTTATAATAATTATAATGCAGCTTATTAAAATTTTC